CTTGCCGCCCACCTACAGCCATTGTACTGTGAGCGGGCAGCAGCTCAAGGCCGGGCGATGTACTGATGCGTTGTGACCCTTCTTCCAGGTTTGGAGAGCGCGTGCAGGCCCCTTTCTGATTTGTGTTGTAATTGGACACAGCACGAGCTTGGCAGCTGATTTCAGCCAATGATTTTGGCTGAAGTCAGCTGATCAGCTGTGTCCAATCACACACAGAACTCTGTACAGGGAACAGCGATTTGGCTGGAGAACAAACAGCCATACAGAAAAGTAAAAGCAACACACATTAAACATTGTTAGGCACATAGTTAACCCTTTGATTACACCTGGTTGTTAACCCTTTCCCAGCCAGTGTCATCAGTACAGTGACAGTATTAGCTCTGATCACTGTATTGAAGATCGTTCACACCCTGGTGCAGAGAAGTCAGTTTTTCTGCCCACAATCTGCAAGGGCACAATTAAATCAATTGTTCTCTATGTGCCTGGTCACACTGGTATTTCCATGCAAATTTTTTACTACGAAGGAATCTGCAGTGTGAATAAAAGTAATTGAAGCATACATGAAAACTTATGTAAACGGATGTCTCTGCAAGTAAAATCTGCACATCAGTTTCCATCAGTTTTTCTGCACATATGGTGTGAACAAGGCCTCAGTGTCACTATTGATGTCAGTCATTTAGTGCACCTTCCAGCTAGCGCTAGTTTGCCCTCCACCCCATCACAGCCTCACTATAAGTCGCTGATCACCACTAATACCAGTAAAGTGTCATAGCTACGTAAATTTCAGTATATATACACCATAGTTTGTAGACGCTATAACTTTTGCATAGACCAGTTAACCCCCCTGGCGGTATGATTCCTTCCGATTTTTTGTGCTGAAAGCGGTACCATTTTTTCGCATGGAAATAGTTTTTTATTGTAGGCTGTAATTTTTAGGAAAATTTCCCCACAAATCATTATCACTCAATTCTCTAAGTGGTTCTGATTTACTATCGCTGTTCTCTAGCCGGTCTAAAACCGCTTTTGACGTAAAGGGACGCTTTTTGGACGCCATGGACTTTTCTAAGTTTCCAGGCAGAAAGAACAGACAAAATGCAGGCAGGGCACAGGACAAAGCACTAGGGACAAAATGTATGTGAAATGGGATGAAACAGCAATGTTTTACTATTTAAAATTGAAAAAAAAAAAAAATGACATTTTTTAAATTTTTTAAATTTCCCGCCGCCGGCGGCGCCCGTACGTCCCGTCGTCACGGGGACCGGAACACAGAAGCCGGATGCCGGCATCGGCCGGAGGAGATGGCCGGGGACGCTGCAGGGGACACATCGTGGGAACGAAGGACAAGGTAAGTGCTGCAGGGACCCCCAGAGCAGCGCCGCATGGTAAGCCCGAGTGTAGCTCGGGGTTACCGCTTGTGGTATAGAAATTCTACCCCGAGCTACACTCGGGAAAACCGCCAGGGAGGTTAATATACACTTATTGAGATTTGTTATTACCAAAAGACATGTAGCAGAATACATTTTAATTTAATTTTATGAATATTTTTTTTTTCATTTGATATGTTTTACAACAGAGAGTAGAATACATTGGGTTTTTTTTTATTTATATCACAAAAAAATAATTGAATAAAACAGTGTTGATCAAATAACCATCATAAAAAAGCTCTATTTTGGTAAACAAAAATGATAAAACTGTAGCGCAGTGCTGAATAGCAAAAAATGCCCTGATCATAGAGGAGATAAAACCTTCTGGAACTCAAGTGGTTAAAGCATATTTATTGTCAAAATGTAACATTATATATTCATTACCACATTTGTGACTCTGTAAAGGTCCCCGCACATTTACTTCCTTGAATCCTGTGACACATATTCACTATGTCCCGTGAGTAGGCATTGTTGTGTCACACATTTCACAGAGCCTGCTTTCTGAACTACAGAGTTGCTGAGAGGAGGAGTTTCAGGAGGCATAGTCAGAACAGGGATCACTGCTTACAGGCAGTCAGGTATCATGGGACATGGTAGTCCTTAGAGATTGGAAGTCTTGGCATAATCACATACAATACAGGGACATTAACCCTGTATTGTATGCAGGGGATGGAGTGTGACCAGACACGGCTTACAGGGGAGCTGCGGGGAACTGGTTGTAGCAGTGGTGGGAGCCTTGTGATGCAATGAGTAAGGTAGGCATTTTCTCCTTAATCGTCTGCCCCTACATAAAACAAGCATTTAATTCATGCAGTGCAGGAGAGGCCCACTGCAAAGGTGTACCTTGGGGTATGTCTCTTCCCTCCAATCAGCTCTCAGATCACTGAGCTCTGCAGAGTGTAACTTCAGCTCTCCAGCAAGCTTTATAAATTCAGCTATTTGAACGGATGTAGAGAAGACTGTAGATTAATAGGTACAACTTATGTAAGAGTAGAAGTATTTGTTTAATCTCTGTATCACCTAAGGTCAGTCACTTCACTGGGCATATGCAGGGGTTTATCACTTTAAAGTGGTTCTAAAGGCAGCATCCCCCCAATACTTACATTAACCATCCAGAAATGTGCACAAGAGCCTCGACTGTCTGGGGGCTATCCCTCCTCAATGGCTGTCATACACAGCCAATAAGCCAATGAGGAGAAATAGGGGGAGGGGCCAAGCCGCGGCTGTGTGTGTGTGAATGGACATGCAGAGCAGTGGCTAAGGAGCGAGCCTGCTTGGGTGCACCCAGAGCAAGCAACTTGGAGGGGCCAGGAGCGCCGCTGGGGGGACCCGAGAAGAGGAGGATCGGGGCCGCTCTGTGAAAAACCACTGCACACAGCAGGTATGACATGTTTATTAAACAAAAAAAACTGCCTTTAAAATCACTATAAAGTGATTCTAAAGACTTACATTATAAAAACAAACAAAAAACGTCTATATGTACCTGCTGTGTGCGGTGGTTTTGCACAGAGCAACCTGGATTCTCCTCTTCTTGGGTTCCCTCCCAGCACCCCCCCCTTCCTGTCGGGTGCCCCCACAGCAAGCAGCTTGCTATGGGGGCACCCGAGCATGCGCACTTCCCAGCTGCTGCTTTGTGTGTCCATTCACACACAGAGCTGCAGCTTGGCCCTGCCCCTTCTCATTGGTTGTTATTGAAAGCAGTGGGAGCCATTGCCTCCTGCTGCTGTCTCAGCCAATGAGGAGGGGGATTTCTGGGATAGAGACTCCAGTGCACTGGATTGAGAGGGGGCTTAGGGACGGCTGGGGGAATGCTGCACAGAGAAGGTTTTTTGCATTAAATGCATGCATGCATGAAAGTAAAAAACTTGAGCCTTTACAACCACTTTAAGGTAAAACTCCTTGTACCTTTACAACCACCTTAACCTCTTCACGCCGACAGGACGCAACTATGCGGCCTCTAGGCGGCTGGGCCTTGACACTGAGCGGCCACATATTTACGTACTATTTGTAAACATGTGCTGACATCGTGTGCCCTGCACGCTCTCAGCATTTGTCAGTGTCCCACGGAAAGGTCCCGATCTCTCCTTGCAATCAGGACCTTTCTGATCATGTGACTGCTAATCCAGGTGGTCACATGACCCTAATCCCCACCCGGCCTTCTGGCATCAGAAACACCTTAAAGGGCCAGAAGGCGTCGGCGCGAAGGGGTTAATTATGGGCAGCACAGTGGCTAAATGGTTAGCACTTCCGCCTGGCAGTACTAGGGTCGTTGGTTCAAATCCCAACCACAGCACCACCTGCCTGGAGTTTGTATGTTCTCCCTGTGCCTGCGTGGGTTTCCTCCAGGTACTCTGGTTTCCTCCCACACTCCAAACACATGCTGGGAGGTTAACTGGCTCCTGTCTAAATTGGCCCTAGTATGTGTATGTATGAATGTGAGTTAGGGACCTTAGATTGTATACATCTTGAGGGTTAGGGATTGATGTGAATGTACAATATATATGTAAAAGCGCTGCGTAAATTGATGGCGCTATATAAGTACCTGAAATAAATAATGCCTACATGCTGGCCATATGTTTTGCTGGGTGGCTGGTGTCTAGGGTCACATGACCCTACACCCCACCACATCAGAAACCCTTTAAAGGGACTGGAGGGACCAGCGAGAAGGGGTTAATGCCTACATGCTGGCCATGTTTTGCTGGGTGGCTGGTGTTTAGGGTCACATTACCCTAAACCCCCCCCCCCCCCGCATCAGAAACCCTTTAAAGGGCCAGGAGGCACCAGCATGAAGGGGTTAATGCTGGGCAGCTAGAGTATATGCGCTACAGCACCAAGACTGAGGATTGGTAGCCAGTGGGACCGACTTCTGATCATCTGGCCACTGTCACAGTGGCCTCACGCTTTGCTCATCCTTTCTGCCCCCCTGGGCGTTCAGAACAGTTTGAAGTTATGGGGTTCAATCAGTCCTTTTAAAAATGTAAACATGATGTTTTCCCTATTATTCTATTCTCTAAGATTTGTCTGTGTTGTGTTTTTTGTAAATGACTATTAAAGAAAAAAAAATAAACACATGAAAACCTGTCCTTGTCCTCCATTTATTGGACATGTTTACTATGTAAAGCTGTGCCTGTGAGGAGGTGAGGCTATGAAGTGGCAGTGTGCTTTGCTCCCCTCCTCCACCACTGATAGCAGGCTGAGCTGATCCAGAGTGCAGGCCGTCGGGGGAGCAGTGCTGGGCCCCTGGATCACTGATGGATGTCAGTGTGCTCCAGCCACACATCCCAGCACTCTGCTTCCCAACACACAACAAGTCTATGACAACAAAGCAAACTTTCCCAGCAGCATCCGGGTCTCTCCTCCTCCTCCCATTAACCTGTCCAATGCTGGAGGCCCTGGAAAGAATAGGATTCCCCTGTAGTGTCCCCACCCTGATTCCACATGAAGGTGATCCCCCCACCTTCCAGGAACCCAGCCCGGAGAGAAGGCTCAGCTGCTGCCAGAAGCCAAGCCTCACCCTGCAATCTGTGCACCACTCAGCCCCCTCCTTGGGACTGTCTTATATAAGGCTGCTCTTACCTGGGGGCTGTCTAACAAAGCCTCCTCCAACAGCAGCTTATCCACAGCAGGCATGTCGTCCTCCACAGACAGGGCAGGTACTGAATTATTTAGCTGGATTCAATTAGCACCCCCTCCTCCAGCTCCTCTTCCAGCTCCCTCACACGTCCTGAGCCGTCGCTGCAGCTGGTGGCCGCTAGTGGTCAGCAGAGAGCGCCCAGTCAGGACAGCTTGCCTAGGGTGTCACTGAGACAATACAGTTCAATACAAGAGGGATAGGAGGGCCCTGATCCTTGGAGCTTACAATCTAAGAGGGAGGGGCTAGTGGTACAAAAAGGTAATAACTGTGGGGGATGAACTGATAGGAGAAATAGAAGATTCGGTATTATTATACAGGATTTATATAGCACCAACAGTTTGCTCAGCACTTTACAATATAAAGGGAGACAATACAGCAACAATACAGTTCAATACAAGAGGGATAGGAGGGCCCTGATCCTTGGAGCTTACAATCTAAGAGGGAGGGGCTAGTGGTACAAAAGGTAATAACTGTGGGAGATGAACTGATAGGAGAAATAGAAGATTTGGTATTATTATTAATATACAGGATTTATATAGCACCAACAGTTTTCTAAGCACTTTACAATATAAAGGGAGACAATACAGTTCAATACAAGAGGGTTAGGAGGGCCCTGATCCTTGGAGCTTACAATCTAAGAGGGAGGGGCTGGTTGTACAAAAAGGTAATAACTTTGGGGGGGATGAACTGATAGGAGAAATAAAAGATTCTCTATTATTATTAATATGCAGGATTTATATAGCACCAACAGTTTTCTCAGCGCTTTACAATATAAAGGGAGACAATACAGCAACAATACAGTTCAGTACAAGAGGGATAGGAGGGGCCTGGTCCTTGGAGCTTACAATCTAGTGACATAGGACACACTTATCACCCAGTGTCACCTTATTAGCGGGTGGACACTGAAGGTACGACGCGTTGGGAAGATTGACTTCAGACACCTTCCCCTAACTTCTGTGCTATACTGTGGATCATGCAAAGGCTTGAGGCTTCTCTAAGTCTAGGTTCACATCTATGCGTTTTATGTTGTGTTTTATAGAAACGCCCAGCAGTCCATTTCACATGATTTCCTATGGGACAGGTTCACATTTCCGTGTTTGCGCCCGGTGCGTTTTTTGGAAAGGGTTAGGTACTTTTTTAAACGCAAAATATTGCATTTTTTTGGTTCAATAGACTTCATTGGAAATGCTGCAGAAATGCATGTAGTGCGTTTTTGGTGCATTTTGCGTTTTAATCTGCCCAGCAACAAGTTGAAACAAAAAAACAAAACATAAACCACATCAAATCCACATGTGCAAAACGCACCGCAAAAAAGCACTGCAGAAACAGGTCAAACGCAAACTGCATAGGTGGGAACCTAGACTAAGGGCCAGTTCACACTACATGCATTTCAGTTGCTTATGTTCTGCATCCAAAATGCACAGAAAGTAGGTTATATGGTTGTCAATGTCATAGTTCACATCAGTGCTTACAGTTCCAGTGCTTTCTGGATGCAGAAAAAAAAAGGTAGAACAATCTGCACAGAACTGCACGTATCAAAAAACACCCCGTAACACACCAAAAACATACTGGAACACACATGTCCCTATTTAAATTGAAGAAAAAGGGGGAAAATGAACTGTAACGCATCAAAAATGCACTGGAATGCGCCAAAAAGCATCAAAAGCGTGCAAGCAGAAACATATTCACAAATGCATCTGGACTGCGTTTCTATAGTGTGAACCAACCCTTAATGGGTTTTAGAGCCCAACTCCTAGACATTGGAAAAAAAAGTAGTGTGGCACTGCAAGAGTTAAAGTGAAACTGCACTGTATCTGAGCACCACAAATCAAAAATGCTATATAATTTATTTTTAATATTCAAAGCAAGCTCATGCATCCATTTATGTCTCCATGCTTGATTTTGCTGAGAAATCAGTTTGAATAACATCTCCTGGCATTTCTGGCAGTGGCCATCTTGAGTAAGGGCAGATGATTCATGTAGCAGTTACTTCCTGGAATCTATCTGTCCTTAGCTCAGGCACTGGCTAAGCTGAGAACCCTCCATCCATCCTTCCTGAAGCCTGCTAGGATATATGACATTATTTACCTAGACATGGAAAAGCAGGAACTAACTGAAGAAACCTAAATTAAAAAAAATGAAAACAAGTAAATATTATTATTACTTTCCTACTCGAGTTTATATATGCCAAAGGGTTTGCAGCGCTGTACAATAGGATTAGGGACAATAGCCAGTGTAGATGTACGAGAGGGTAAGTGAAGTTCTGCTTTATCTATTTACTAATGCAGCCCAGATTCAGAGTGAAGTTCTGCTTAATACAAATGCAGCCCAGATTTTCTTATGCGTTGTAATTTGTTTTTGACACATTTCGGTGCATTTTTTTATGCATTCTGGTTCTTTTTTCCCCTTTTTTTCTTAAACTTTAATAAAGGCATGTGTGGTCTGGTGCATTCTGGTACGTTTTTGATGCATTTTACTGCGTTCCTGTACAGTTCAGTGCAGAAAAAATGCAGCATGTTCTACTTTTTTGTTCCTGGAACTGACTACACTGGTGTGAACTGTACCACTGGAAACCATGTAACCTACTATCAATGCATTTTTGATACAGAATGCATGTCGTGTGAACTGGCTCTAAATGCTTGTTATGCCTGGCAGTACTAGGGTCATTGGTTCAAATCCCAACCATGGCACCACCTGCCTGGAGTTTGTATGTTCTCCCTTTGCCTGTGTGGGTTTCCTCCAGGTACTCTGGTTTCCTGCCACACTCCGAAAGCCATGCTGGTAGGTGAATTGGCTCCTGTCTAAATTGGCCCTAGTATGTGTATGTATGAATGTGAGTTAGGGACCTTAGATTGTACACCCCTTGAGGGTTAGGGACAGATGTAAATGTACAATATACAGTATATGTAAAGCACTACATAAAACTGACAGCACAATATAAGTACCTGTAATAAATAAATAAATGTCTTGGGGGAGGGGGGGAGTAAAGGAACTTACATTATTACTTTCCCCATCCCCTGCCCTGCCCTCTTCTCACAGAAGCTCTGTGGGCCATCCTTTTGGTGTCATCACATACAATGCAGAGCTATGAAAGTGGTTCTAAAGGTTCCACCATAGCAAGCTTATCGGTTTATATTTAATAAACTACCGTATTTTTTGCTCCATAAGACGCACTTTTTTCCCCCAAAAAAGGGGGAAAATGTCAGTGCGTCTTATGGAGCGGCCGGTCCGGTATTTCCACCGCCGCCGTGTCAGAATACCGGGCCGGCTGCTCAGCTCTGCAGCGGGACCTTACCTGTTCCTCTATCCAGCGGCGCGCTGTCTTCCCGGCTTCTGTAGTGTGGGCGCTCGGCTTGACAGCCGGGTTCCAAGTGCGCATGCGCAAGAAGCAGTGCGCTTTGTGAATGGTAAGGGGGCACCTGGGACACATGACAGGTCCCAGAAGCCGCCGGACCAATCACAAAGCGCAGCGCTTCTCGCTCATGCGCACTGGGCACCCGGCTGTCAAGCCGAGCGCCCACACTACAGAAGCCGGGAAGACAGTGCGCGCGCTGGATAGAGGAACAGGTAAGGTCCCGCTGCAGAGCGGACACTAACCAAAGAACAACTCCGCGGAAGTAAAGCGGGTACCTGTCAAATTCAGGTACCCGCTCCCCCCCCCCTCCCCAAAGGTCAGCAGTCATCCCTGTACTGTGTCTGCAGTCTCTGGTCATCTCCTGTACTGTGTCCACAGTCTCTGGTCATCTCCTCTACTGTGTCCGCGCAGTCCGCAGTCTGGTCATCTCCTCTACTGTGTCCGCAGTCTCTGGTCATCTCCTCTACTGTGTCCGCAGCCTCTGGTCATTCTCCTGTACTGTGTCCGCAGTCTCTGGTCATCCCCTGTACTGTGTCCGCAGTCTCTGGTCATCCCCAGTGTACTGTGTCCGCAGTCTCTGGTCATCCCCTGTACTGTGTCCGCAGTCTCTGGTCATCCCTCTGTACTGTGTCCGCAGTCTCTGGTCATCCCCTGTACTGTGTCCGCAGTCTCTGGTCATCTCCTGTACTGTGTCCGCAGTCTCCCCTGGTCATCTCCCTGTACTATGTCTGCAGTCCCATTGGTTCAGAATATTTTTTTTCCTGTTTTCTGCCTCTAAAAATCTAGGTGCGTCTTATGGTCAGGTGCGTCTTATGGAGCGAAAAATACGGTAATTACATTTTCATGTTCTGTGTACTGTGGAAGACCAGATATAATGAATTCAGGGTCCTGGGTTTAGTATCCCTTTAATTCCTCCTAAAGCTCATAGAAAGAGAAAGCGCTCACAGTGTAATATGTCAAATCATTTATTGAAGAGGTAAAAGCATCCACTTCCATCACAGCATATAAACATTGGCTTTACATAGTATAATGCTGTTCCTGTCACTGCCAGGAATGCTCGAAAGCCTGCAGTGAGTTGTGCCCGACGTGGTGACGGTCCCGTCCATCTGACATCTTGCGTTTTAATAGGGACTTTCTCAAAAGTAGTAACATATGTAGCACAATCAACAGTTTTGTGTATAGGTGCCCCTGACACATGCATTTACGTTCGTACGTGCGTGTGTCGGGGTGAGGATTTATTTTTTGGATTTTAGTATTTGGGTTTAACTAATGTTTTACACCTTTTTTATATATTTTTTTTTACTAAACTTTTTTTCTCTATCACATGTTATCCAATACATCTAACTGAATGCAGATCTATTAGATTCTTCCTCAGCCATACGGGCTGTGGACAGTGACATCAGGAGCTAAAGTAACATTTTACATTTAATTTCTGGGTCAGTAACAGAAAGATGACACCTGCTATACTGGTCCTGGGTCCACCAATGGCTGCACAGACAGTGAACAGTATCAAGGGTGAGTGGCAGCAATCCGGCGGCTGCACAGCCACCAGATCACTTCCATCTTACAGCCGACATGTCAGATTTACACACACTCCCCCAAAGTCACCACCGTAGTTTCTACAGCAGTGGCAGTAAAAGT